CAGATTCGGAGTCGGACGAAGTCAAGATACCGATGGTYGTCGAATCGGACGAAATAGCTTTGGGCAACGACACGGACAGCCGTCCGTCTTCCGTCGAGCCGTCTTTGAAGGCGATGAGAACTGGRAAACAGTACAAGTGCCCTCACTGTTCGTACAGCGCCGACAAGAAAGTACGTGTCTACTTATTTTTTGGACTTGACGTCTCGTGACTTTGACGAACGAGATTATGATGGATTAATTATTATTCGATGATAATAAAATATATGCAATGCAATACAATATAACATGCACATAGTTATAAAACAGTTACTTATTATGATTATATTGCAATCACCACAACGTTAAAATTTCACTTCTTCGAATCGGTAAAATGTGGGTACACCGATCTTACATGACTTTCAAACGATTTCTTACCACAACAAACGTATATGGTTTTAAGGTTTTAACAAAGCTTAAGAGGACGCTACACCCGCATATGTTGTCTCCGTCTTACAAGTGCGTAACATATCAAATTTTATGCTCAGCAGATCATGTTTAGCTCCGTTAGTTTAAAATTTAGAGTAAATTGACTTCTTACAAAAATTAAAGGTAACATTATTATCGAGGGCATGACGTAGGCTTTTTATTATATTTTAATTTTAAAGTGAGTTATGTGTATTTTAAAATTGTAAATTGTTTGTATATCTTAAAATACACATAACTCACTTTAAAATTAAAATATAATAAAAAGCCTACGTCATGCCCTCGATAATAATGTTACCTTTAATTTTTGTAAGAGGTCAATTTAYTCTTAATTTTAAACTAACGGAGCTAAACGTGATCTGCTGAGCATGAAATTTGTCATGTTACGCACTTGTAATAACGTATGCGGGTGTAGCGTCCTCTTAACAATTTTGAATATACTAAGACTGTCTATAGAGTGCCTTATAGTTGCAAGTGTATGCCAATTTGAAAGCAACCTTAATTATTTTCGTAAAAATAAAATTCGAGTTAAATTGTATCAATAATTTATGTTTCTTCAATAACTATTCTGACCAAAGCAATTACTGTATTTCATTCTCAAATAACGGGTATTTTGACGTGCTTTTTCGCAAAATTATAAATGTTAACACTGAAAAAAGAATATTGATATAATAGTCACTCAAAAACTAAAGTTTAATGTATACCTATACCGAAACAGATTTATATTCTAAATGTTTAATGTTTAAAACCATTTGCATTCACTCGTCATGAAATGCTGTAAAATCGTCCATGTGATTATGTATAACATAATAATCTTYAAAAACTCGGATGAACTATAAATATTGGTTTAAATATTTTGCGTTACAAAATRCAAATTTCAAATAAACTAAAAWTTTTGAATCGTTTTCTAACGATAATGTATGTTTGGAAATTTAAAATTAAATCAATATTATGTCTATTAAATGTTATGTTGGTAATGTATATAGTTATTGTTCAAACAATTTTTCCGTTTAAACATTGAGTTTAAGCATACMTAACATATTGTATTGTATATATGTTATTCTCTACATAGTAATATATTATTAAGATAGATAAATAAAGTAAATGTATATTTGAATATAAACTAGCTGTTAACATTATAATATGTATACCATTATGGTCAGATATTAATTATCTTTTAATACTATATAGAGAAAATATAAACTGATGGTAGATTACAATTTAATTAAAAACACCCTTATTTGTGTACCTAACGAACAAAATAAAGTTTTTATTTTTTATTTTTTTTTTGAATCTCGGTAAAATGCATAGATATTTTAATACTTATTTACAAATCATAATCTGAATGTTTTAGACAACAATAAGTAATAACATGCTGTTCTATGCATTTTTTATAATTTAAAAAACTCAGTCKGCTTGCCAGTATTGTGGACCATTATATTATTGTTGCTACGATTTCTTTAGCCCCGAAAATAATTACGAAACACAACAAATGAAATGAAAACAAAGAAAATATAATATATTAGAGATAAATAAAATACGTGACGACATGCCAAGATCTGTTATCTTTGTTTCTCACGCACGTTTAATAACGCAGTTAAATCCCATTCGGTAAATCCAAAACTGAAGGCTTATAAGTTAACGATAATATTATAGCAAGCAATTTACATACTGTAAAATATACAGAGAAGTGAACATTTTGTTTTTTATTTTTATAATTATATGATATATTATCTAAATAACGAGTTCTAAGATTTTATTCATAATTATTAAATACTCAATGTTTAAATCAATCAATCGATATATTATTTCGTTCTAAATCAAAATAATGAATACACTTCAATGGTTATAATAATAGTTATTGATAATAATTTTGTAATACAATAATATAACTTATTTCAGGTACTTATATGAAAATACAAATATAATAATTACATAAGATCACAATTGTATTACTATTAAAATACGTTCTATAACGTATGCTTTAATGGTTAGTGTATCTATAAAATAATATATGCTCGATGGTCATTGGTTATTAATATTACTCTCGGAAAATAAATATTTTGGTTTTATGAAACTGRGTATAACAATCGGGAAAGAAAAAACACAATATCCTGGGTGGTATCATATTCRATTTTAATATTAACAGAAAAATGATGATTTGGCAAGAGGTTATTGATATATTAGCAAACGTTTCAATACATATCTAATCGATTAATATAAAAAAATTATCAACGTTATATAAAATATCCAAGTCCCAGGTTTTTAAATTGCTGAATAAATTTTTTAAATTGTTTCAATTTTGATTCACAAATTAAATTTACATTTTAAAACACGGCGTGAAAATAACTGTGACGGTGGACGATTAATATTAGGTAATCATTTTTACACAACCGCTGTAAAAATAGGGCAACTAATAACTATATTATATCTTTATGAAAAGAGCCTATAATACACGCTCGCACGCACACATAGTATACAATATACATGTCATAMATTTATACAGGGTGATTGTTGAATATTGTTGTACATCGTKAACCTTGCAATATCTTAGACATTTCAACGACATTTTAAATATTTATATTTTTCTTACGTTTAGAAACATACTATTTTATATTTGTCTATTGATATATCAGTATTTGTTCCTAAAACAAATATACATCTTTGAATGTATACTCTAAATTATTATTACTGCTGTAATTGTTTGATTCACAACTAAAAAATCACCCTGTATGCACATTGTACTAACATTACTTGTCTGTATATCTTCAATAATATAATTTCAAAGTAGGTATATAGTATATCTGAAACGAAATCTAAGATAAAAATATTCCTTCTCAAAACATATATCAAGATAAAGTATTCCTATAATTAAAACGTGTACGTATGTATGTACCTACGTACATATTATTATCAATAAAAACATTACATTTTTAGGATTTTAAAAGTTTTAATTGCTATTTTTACTTACTATTTTGTTTTCTTATATCTTATATCTATTATGATTGCTGCCCAAATTAAAAATTATATATTGAAATGATTTTATTTTAAGTATCTTATTTATTATTATATTATAGGTATATTTTTTTAAATATATTGTTTACATAAGTAATATTATATTATAATTCGTCTTTTAAACATTAAAACAAAAATTTTTTTTTTCATTAGATATATATATAATATTTACTACGTACGGATGCTCTATTATAAGCGCTACACGAGCGTGTCGTATATATGCTCTAAAATATGTCTTATTAACGCAACCATCATATTTTATTAAATTGAAAATTACGTATAGTTCCTATGTAAATAGTAGTGTTCGTATTCTTTGAACGTACAACGAAGATGTCATACATTTTACAATATGATTTTATGCCTTTRAGGGCATGTTTTGATATTTTTTGCTCGTATTGTAATGTGTATATCGCATTAGGTACCTACCTAAATATACTGAGTAGATACAGCCATATATATTAAATGCATGCTCCDACCGAAAAAAAAATAAAATCGTAGGCGTTGGATGYCAATTTGATCTTGACGGTATATATACAGTACGTTAAGTGTTTTTMAGGGTTCGCGAACTTAACCTTTCCACGTGTAWTCGAAATTAATATGTCGATTGATTTCCGCAGGTGAGCTTGAACAGGCACATGCGCATGCATTCCATATCTCCGGTGTCCGTGCAATCGCCACCGTGCCCGTCGGACAACGCTGACCCGTCGGTGGTGGACCGGTACTGCCAGAACTGCGACATCCGGTTCTCCAACCTGCGCACGTACCAGGCGCACAAGACGCACTACTGCAACACGCGGCACGTGGTCAAGCCGACTCCGTCCAGCTCGCCGATGGCCAATAACCCATCGCCCACCGGAGTGGTGCCCACTTACCTGGCKCTGCCCACCAATCCTGTCATCGTAGTTCCTTACACACTCGTACAAAACGCAAGCGTCCTGTCCGCGCTGTCCGGGGACATAGGCCCGTCCCCGCCCACCGACACTGCCTGCATCGTCCTGTCCGACGGTACGCTGCAGCCCATCGCCCAGGCGCTGGTGCCCATCAAGTTTGGCATGATCGCCAACAGCGAAAACATACAGAGAGACAACTCTCAGTCTCCGCCGGAAGAATTCTTTTCGCCGGTAAGTGGCGATAATAGTAATATAGTGCCAGTGGCGCCAAAATATATATTTACCTATGACAGCTGTCATAGGTGATTTTAGTAGGTAGGAGGRTTACGTTTGTCATTCCAAATATATTACGATATGAATAATTGGCATGTATTAGACATTACTGTCAATTGTAAACTAAAAGTTGATAATATTTCATAAAAATTATAAGGTAAGGTAATTATAAGAAATAGGTGGGTGTCAAAATTTTATGTGGAGATATATAATAGGTAAAATTTTGGACTTTGGCGCCACTGTATAGTGATTATAATATAATACAAGGTTCTACCTTGGTATACATTATATGTTATACATTTTAATATTATCAGGTCGAGTGCATATGCAATATACTAAAACCGTAATTTTGATTATATGGCGTCATTGGGCGCGGTTTATTAATGAACTTCCATGATGTGATACTTGTCAATAGTGGCATAGCGCCATCCGCGGATGGTTAATTCATATACACTCGCGTGGCACTTACTTGTTGTTTTCCGCCGCGTAGCATGGACCATAACATAAATATTATGTATTAGAGTTATCACCTTGTCTCATGGAAATCGAAAATAGTGATGTGCTCTGTRGGGGAAGAAGTTAATTTATAGCAGAACCTATATCGCCATGATAATTTGAGATGAAACATTTATTGACAAGTGTCAAGTGATGATATATTCGATACATATATATAGGGTCAATGTACGTTATACGCGCGTGGCGCATGGTATTAGGTATAATATTATGTTGTTTGTTGTAAATTCGTATATGATTCGTGATGAAAAACGTGTCCGATTAGAACTCGATAAATACCGTTTTCGACGMGGATTATTATATTATCACATAATATATTGTAATCACTCTTATTTACTTAACATTAGAGTTAGACTACATTCAAAATTAAGCGTAAAACATAATAACAACACACTCGTATTTCTATTATACTTACCTATATGCGCTATTACGCAGGAAAAGTCGAGAGCGGTGCTGATGATCCGTCTAAATATAAATAAATAACATAAACTTGTCGATGATTTTTTTTTCATATTTTGGACTTTGAAAATAAGAAGTTGGAACGTATTGCACTCTCAAAGGTTGAGCGTATTTTTTCTATGCTTTTAAATATTTGTTTTTTTTTTTTTATATATTTTGCCGTAATTTTTTAATGTTTTTAAATTTGAATTTTAAAACAATATCACTTTGTCTTTTTTTGTTATGCACTTTTTTGCATCATATTTTGGAATTCTCATGGTGTACAATATTCAGCGCCCAGTTCGAAAGTTTCAAAATGAACGCAGTGAAATATGATAAACATCTATTTAGAAATAATTTCCATTTAGCGAAATATTTTTCACCAAATTTATTTAATTCTATAGGAATAACGAAATTTTCTATTTTATGAGTTTTTTTCTTGCCCCCGAAACTTATAGTAATGTGTAAGTTGCGGTGTTTAATACTACGTTGCAGTTTTAATTTAATACATTCAATTCACATTCATTTCAATAGAAGTTTCTAAAATTTATTTCGAATTAAATTAATATCACGCGGAAACTTTTTTTTGTTGCCCTTGAGAATTGACATAAAGATACTTGCTATTGTATACCTAWACTGTACGAGCTCAGGAAAAATAACAAATTCTCAGCCCCTCATTTTGAATATTATTAAAACGTGTGTGATTTATAAGTGTTTAACTGACTTACACGGTCGTCGTTTTTCTAGCCCAAAAAGGCGGAGTCCATCAGCCCGGAGACGAAGATGAGACCGGCGGCACAGCCATCGTCGCCGCTTGACCTGCGGCTGAAGCGCGTGACAAAATCGTCGCAGGACGCCGCAGGCTGCATAAACGGCGAAGAGGAAAAGGAGAACAGGCGGAGTGACGGAAACGTGACAGACGCCGAGGACATAGTGTGCGCGCCATCCATCCCGTGCATGATACTGTCGCCGTCGTCCTCTCCGACGTCTGGTGGCGGCGGTGACGGCAGTGGCGGAAACAGGACCCCGCAACACCGACCCGGTGCRCACCATCACCACCATATCCAGCAACTGCAACAGCAGCGCCAACAGCAACAGCAACTGCAGCACCACCAGCAACTCCAACAGCAGCACCTCCACCGTAGCCACAATCAGCTGCCGCTGCAGYCTCCGACCAACGGCATGGTGCAGCACAGCGGTAAGCCTGTTCCGTCAGCGACCGTTCACGAAGGCATCGATCGGAACGGYGGAAAGTTCAGCGTATCCAGTCTGTTGCACGCGGCCGGCGGCCGGCTGCCAGACGGCGTCAAGCAGGAACCTGCAAACAACGGTGAGTCGCCGCACCACGTGATGCACCAATTGCCGGGCGCGCATCACAGGTTCAGCGCGATGCACAAGTCGCTGCTGTCCTCGGCCGGCGTGGCTCCGATTCCACCCGGCGTCCAGCCGCGCGGYCTCGGCGAACTTCTCAACCCGGCCTCCGTGTTGCCGTATTTTGCACCGGACATGACGCTCCGACTGACTCCGAACTCGGCGCAGGACGGCATGCCACCCGCTCACCATCAGTTCTACTTGAAACAGGGCCCGTCAAAGTGCGAGAGCTGCAACATCGTGTTCTGCAAGTACGAGAACTTTCTGGCGCACAAGAAGCACTACTGCGCATCTCGCCCGCCACCGGACGGCGGGGACGGTGACGCGGACAAGACGAGCCCCGAGGGGTCGCCCGGCCCAAAGCCGCTGACCGTGTCGTCGCCGCAGTCGTCCAAGGACAGCGTCAGCCCCACGCCGGTGCTTAAGCCACCCATGATCCAGTTTATATGCTCCACGTGCGGCGTCAAGTTTTCGTCATTCGACAATCTCACCACGCACCAGACTTTCTACTGCCCGAACAGGACCGCGGCCGTGGCGTTGCAGGAACCGGCGGCAGACAATAAGGCGGCCCCGGCACCGCCAAAGTGTCCCAAGTGCAAAGTAAGTGTGTCTAGCTGAAGGTTATTACATTTACTAT